AGAGAGAGAGAGAGAGAGAGAGAGAGAGAGAGGAAGAGGCGTGAGAAAGGGAAGGCATATATGTCAGTTTCCTTAGGACAGGAATCATGGGGACCATACCAGATTGAGACCTTTGAGAACGCTGAGCTTTTTCCTCCTCCCTACCATTTACATCAGCTTCTCAACCGACAACTATATATATACATATATATATATACACACACACACACACATATATATATAGTTTTTGTGTATGTGTATGCGTATAGACGGATAGGTCTGGGCCAAAATCCAACATAGGAAGAGACGTGGGACAGCTTAAGAGAGTGACACACTGTGAGTACGGTTAACCTGCCACATCTTCAACTATAAACTAAATTTAAAGAAGAAAAAAAAATAAAAACCTGCCACCTTCTGCACCAAGAAAATGACAAATAAAGAAAAGGAAGGGGGAAAAAGAAGAAAGAAAGAAAAGTAGGGTTTTGGGGCTCATCTATAGAGAGTTATGTGGCATGACATAAAAAAAAAATGGTATGTAAATTATAAAAAAAAAAAAAAAATTGTATGTGAATCTTCAAATCTCACCATAATCATATCAAATTGACGGTAACGTGATGAAAATTTAACAGTTTAAAATTGTATTTCTCTACAAGTTGCATCTTATATTTCACTAGAGAATTCTCTTTAATTTGTTGTAACATGTAGGTAGTCTATGATCCTGCATTGGAGTCTAGTTGTGTGTATTTTTGAACCTTGTATCTCATTAAAATCACATTGAAACGAAACAAACTATGCAAAAGTAATATTAAAATTTGACAGTTCAATACAGTATCATATTTGGTATTTACCTACCAAAAAATTCCCCTTTAATTTACAAACAACCAACCCACCTTAATTACATTGCTGAAAAGAGGACAGAAGAGTTAAAAAGCTGAATCCCTTTTTATTTATTTAGTTATTTATACTCTTTAACACATAAAATACTTTTGATAAATACCCCTTAAAATAGTACCATTAAGGATTTTTGAGTCTCAACATTAGCTTAAATTTTACCTTTTTAGAGTAAATAATTTGACAAATTATTATCAATAATTTAATAGATTTCACCTACGGTAGGTCTCTGATCACCGATAACAGGTGTAATTTAACAGATTATTTTTTAAAATTTAACATATTATTATTTATAATTTAACATATTATTATAAAAGAAGTAGCCAATCATAATCAAAGATAAAGATGGAACTCTTTAAACGTCGCTTTTTATAATTTTCTATTAACACATCTGTCTCTATCTGGGGGTGTTGGGCTGGAAGAATTGGGCTGGTCCCTTTTTTTTTTTTTTTTTTTTTCGCGTACTGGCCTTAACCCTTTTAATTTTGGTGAATTGCCATTAAATGAGGGAACTTGTACTGCTCTGTCCCTCCCAGAGGGCATCTTCCCAAAACATAACGTGAATAACGGTATTATTACCCAAAGCGCATTGAGCCCAAAACGGTGAAAAAGATGGATGAGAGAAAAAGAGAGATTTTCTTTGTTGGGGAGTGATAAATTCACTCAATTGTTCTTCATGTCATTAAATTAAAGGTGATTTTTTTTTTTCTTGTTCTGAAAGCCTGATAAGTTGATAACAACTCCTCAGAATTAATAGCGTCAGCCCTTATGTGGAATTAGAAATAATATTATTATGTGTCACTAGTAATTCAGATCCCATTGGTGGGAAAAAGTTGTTAACTTAAGAAAGGGTGAAAAAAGCACATAATGCCCACTCATGTTTTTTTGTTGTTATTACAAGTTATGTTTTTTGAAAATTGAGATATTTTTTCTATAAAAAAAAAAAATTTGTGGTATCTGATTTGCCTTGACAAAGCTTTCTTTTATCACTAAAAAAGGAAAAAAGAAAAAGATTAGAAGGGGCACTGGATCCAATAAAACCTAGAGAGTACTGCTGTGGAGATGAGCAGCCATAGCCAATATTAATATTCTGTGAAAACATTAAAAGTCTTTCAATTGCTGTTAAATTTTTCTACACAAAAAGTAAATGTCCTGTGCATAACTTGACGTTTTCCACTAACTAGAAGTCTTAAACCAGCAAGTTTCTTGCCAATGAAACAACTTTTCAAGCAACCCTTCTAGTAGTAATTAGCTCACTAAAAATGGCGACAGGATTTGAAGATTCTAGACCAAAATTATGCTGAGGTTAGCATTAGGAAAATATATTTTCCAAAAGGAAAGATTAGACTAGGGGATCAGAATTTATAATACGTCAGACGATGATGTAGTAGGTTACAAAAAATCCCCTACGAACAGAATATAGTTTTGCACTTTCAGATTTATATTAAGTTTCATTAAATGATTATGCTTTTCTTAATCTAATAATATGATGATATGATAGGACGGTTTAGAACTTCATCTTATCAATAGAGTATTTTTCATACCCTACTGGAAGCTAGCAGCTCCAATGGGAGTAGTGGCTCATCACCCTCTAAATCTCTTTTCAAAGAGTTGAGGCTGACTAGATCCTCTTTCAAAGGACAAAGAAGAGCTACTATTGTGGCTATATATGCTATATTGACACTTGCCTCCTCTCATTTCTCAATGAGAAATCGTGTCTTGTTTAGACAGAGAATTTAATAACAGCCAGTCTCTAGTTTTGTAGCTATTCTAATGCCTTCCAAGTAATGTTAAAGTCCTTTTTTTTGTTTTTTGTTTTTTGCTTTGCATGAGCTTCTGATCAGTATTTAATTCACGCATACTCTTGGCTTGGTCATCTTTTACGTACTCCTTTTTGTCTTTCTTGTTCTAATCCAAGACCCCACAAACTATACTTGCCTGTAACAATTTTTGGAGACAATGAAAAATAATGAGGTTGTTCTTTTATATTTTTGAGTTATGGTGACTTGAGTAATGATCTTAAGTTGAGTTTGAGTTAAAACTTGAGTTGAAGTTATAACTTGAGTTTGTGTTTGGATCTACACATTTAAGTTATGATTTGAATTGAGAATCTTTTCGAGTTTGTGTCTGGGTGAGTCAAAACATAAATTTGTATTTAGATAGTATTTTAATAAAAACTCAATGGTGATGAAAAATTTTAATAGGGTATATGGGTGAGGTTTTATTCGTCTTTTCGTTGTGAATGTATAGAAAAAAAATTATCTCAATCAGAATTAAAACGAAAAAGTTATGGTATTTTTAAGAATAAAAAAAATAATGTTCATTAACTTGAGTTTAAGTTTATGAACTCGAGTTGAAGGGGAAATTTAAACTCGAGTTTAATCCCAAACTCGAGTTTAAACTCAAATTTTACAAAAGAACAGAAACTTGAATAAAATTATAATTCGAGTTTAAACTTTTTCTGAATTTTGTTACAAAAGAACAACTTCAATATCAGCCAGTAACAAGCTCAATTGAGCTCGGTCGTGTTTAGTTGTGTTTAATGGGTGTGTAAGTCGTTTTCAATGGATGAGTCGTCCGTAGATAATAAATTAAAATATAAAAATAAATAAAAAAAAAAGCTTTTCGGGTTTAACTTTAATATCAGAACAAAATTTTTTTTTCTTCTCAGAGAAAAAGGAAAATGGGGTAAGTTGTTCTAATGTTTTCAACTGCAAGCTAAGAATTTTCAGCAAGAAAAAGATAACTAAATAAAGGGAAATCAAGTAAAGCCCTTGTTGTTTGCTTTGCATGTAAATTTTTTATAGACTAGTCATTGTCTCCAACTATATCTATCTATGCCTATAATACGTTTTGATCTCATTACTTAACTCACAACTGCCATTTGACCTTTGTAACAAAATAAATAAGAATGAGTCCAAGGAGAGCTTTCACGTCCTTTTCATCTCATGGCCAAACAAACAAGCATTGGACCGGCTTAATGGGTTTATCAGATCAAAATTTCATACCTAAATCTGACTGACCAACTGGACTTTAGAAACCACATGTGCTGAGTCCTAAAAGGCCCTTGTTTCTATACTGCCCTAAGTGGGCTAACTTAACTACCTGAAAGAATTTAAATTGTCTCAGATTAATTGGAATTTGTTAAGAATTCGACGCCTTAATTCTAAATTAACAAGAGCAGAAATGAACACGCGAATTTTGTAGAGGTTCACTTCATATTGAAACTACGTCTTCTTTCAGCCGGAGCAGTTTCCACTATGAGGAAGAAGTTTTTTTACTCACACCTCACAAGACACAACTCTTTTGTGTTTTCTCTGACCTCTCTAATACTAACCCAAACCGTTGATTCCTCTGCGTAAGGCCATTGTCAGGGCATAGACTCCACAACTTAGAAAATTTTCTTACCACACATATTAGGCTAGTTAGACTTCATATATCAAAAGTGGCAGATGTTACGTATTTCAGTGCCAATAACACCAGAAGATTATTATGTGCATGCTATGGTCTATAAAAAGGCATACACCCTGGAAGAAAATACCATGCCTTTTGAACAATCTTGAACTATAAGTGGTCCTGAATAGCTCGGTAGGCGTGGAAAATACAACCCCAAATATTAAAAAAAAAAAAAAAGGAGTCTAAACTCTAAAGCAAGAGCTGAACAAGGTGGCAAACTTGCTCCCTAGCTATAATAAAGTTATCTTCTAGATTATGCAAAGTCTTGGAATATAAGTGGTCCATAATTATTAGGTTGCTGAAAGTTGACACCTTTTTGCTCTGGTTTTGTCTTTGAAGGTGTGAGGTTTTTGTTAAACTTGCTCTCCTCTTGTCAGCCTAGCTAAGAGAAATATTGGGTTCAAACCAAAGTTGGCCATAGATAAGGACACAATCAATGTTTCACAGGCGGCGCCGAATGGGGCCGATCTTTAAACTCTATATCTATGCATACAAGCACACACATATGTACTCCATATTCAAATCTCCAACTTTTGTATAGAAATTGACGTAACATCTTATCTTTTTATTAGTAGATACAATATCTTATTATTAATTAATATTATAATATTTTAAACACTCATAAATATACAAATGACAACTCATATGTTACATCAGTTAGTAAATAAGAATTGAGATTTTAATTGGTGTCTCAAACATATTCATGTACGTGGGAGTGGTTCTTAATGGAAAGGCAAGGGATATGCAAAGTTGGACTGTAAGAGATCAGCAGTTAATGAGTAGACTAGCTAATAGATATAGCTTTTGATAACATCACTAGAGAACATATAGTTAATGCAAGATAAAAAATAAAAAAAAATAAAAAAAAGCATTACCATAGGGATTGGAGTTTGGACCACCACATAGTTGAACATTGCTGAATTGATCACCAAGAGAAGGTTGGAAAAAGGCAATAACATTTCTGGGTTTTGATCCTTTTCCTTTATTAGATGGTTGATCTTAATGATTTCTACAAATATGTAATTAAGGCAAATGGGACTTTTGGAGCAATACTCTAGCAAAAGATGCATATTTTCCTGCAGATGCTAAACGAAAATTAACTCCTGCATTATATTAAACCTTGATGCAGCATATTAATGCCATTAGGTATTATTAACATATTAAAACAACTCCAACCATGTTAATCATTTCATATTTTTAGTTAAAATAACTAATGATTTAGTTCTTCTCTACTCTAACCATTAGCTAAATGATTAGTTATTTTGGCTAAAATATTTTCCACTAGCTAAATATAGCTAGCAAGAAGTGGCTAGTTATTTATTCTTTTTATTATTTTATTCTTTATTTTAACATAAAATAAAAGTTAAAAAAAATTATTTTTATTTTAAACTCAAAAAAATATTAAAATAATCTATGTTTAACTAAAACAGAGAATATAATTAGAGTGACTCACTAACAAATTATTAACTAAAATAACTTTATAGCCATTTTAGCTAAAATTTAGGGAGCTCCTTGGGAGATGCTCTTAGGTAATACTTGGTACTTACAACAATGCTAATCAAATCTTCAGATCCTTTTTTCTGAGGAATATTATTCTGGATGCTGATTAATCTGCTTACGCAGGCAAAACTTTTATATCAGTTGCCAAATAACAGAACTTAAAAAATAAAACGCTAGTATCAAAGTGGATTTCAGATATTGCAAACAATCGCAATCAATCACTGACAGAAGTTTGAGGATGCTGCTCTGCTTCATCACTTACAATCTACAATTTATATACAAAAACCAAGTTAGTAAAGATATCAATCAAGGCATGGATGCTTGTGGAAATAACAGATAAAAATATAAAAACATTCCCTGCTTAAAAGGGTTCCATTTTTTGTTTTTCTCAACCATTACAATTTCAAATGGTATAAAGTAACCAATGGAGTGGTATTTTAGATTTGAGAGGATGCAGACTCAATCTCGTATTATATTAAGAGAAATAAACAATAATAAAAAAAACTTGGTATATACTAGAAGCGCCCGACTAAGAAAGTGATATTTTGAATTTGAGAGGGAGCGAATTTAATCTCGTATTATATTAAAAGAAATAAAAAATAATACAAAAAACTTAGGGACTGTTCGGCAGCTCGTTTTTTGAGTCAAGTTTATTTTCTTTTAAGTTTGAACTCGAGTTTGGAATTAAAACTCGAGTTCAAATTTCTCCTTCAACTCGAGTTCAGAAATTCCAACTCAAATTATTAAACATTATTTTTTCTAATCTTAAAAATGCTATAACTTTTTCGTTTTAATTCTGATTGAGATGATTTTTTTTCTATGCGTTGACAATGAAAAGACGAATAAAACCCCACCCATATACCTTATTAAAATTTTCCATCAACATTAAGTTTTTATTAAAATACTATCTAAATACAAATTTAAATTTTGACTCACTCAAACACAAACTCAAAAAGATTATTATCTCAAATCATAACTCAAATGTACACAACCAAACACAAACTCAAGTTATAACTCAAACTCAATTTAAAATCTACACTCAAATCACCTAACTCAAAAACGACAAAAGAACAAACCCTTAAACCAGAAGTGCCCATCCCTAGTCTAAGGAATAGCGTACTTGAGACGACAAGAAATAAAAAATAATTAAAAAAAAAAACTCAGTATTAACTAAAAGTGCCCGTCCTTAGACTTGACAAACTTGGTTAGTGACAGAAGGCCTTGTATCTTCTGCAAAACTTTCTTTGTGACGTGTCATCATTTTTCTTGTTCTTTTGGAAGAGAACCATGATTTTCCTATTTATGCTATTAGAAATATCAACAAGTTAGTTTCGCCATCATCAGAGTTTCCCTGTAGTCTATATATATAGCATGACGATACAAGCATCATAAAACAGTAAATTTGATGAAACTTGGGGAAGATTTGTTGTATTCATTAGGATCCTAAGATACAAAATGCTTTACAGAAAACAACTTGAAAACAGAAGTAACGAACAAATAATAATTGTTCTGACTGTTAATCTGCAAAAGGTATAAAACGAAACAAAACTGATCAAAATACATAGAGAAAAGAATGGCATTAAAGTAGAGGATACACGCCTACTGCAGAAAAAACAAAATAAGATGGCATCCTCTAAAACATCAAAGGACTTTCAGAAGTATAAGGTGTTACGGTAAATCTTGACTAGATCGATCTTATGTTATCTTCAACAACTTCCCACTGAGTGTAGCTACTTCAAAATCCCTCTTCTTTTACGCTCTAGCAGATCACTTGGTATAATGTACACGGAATCTACACAGAGGCCACCCTTGGAATGCGTACAATCAATCTGCTTCATGGAAAATCGAACTTCGGTCGCAGGATCTGAACCAGTGACAATGAATTCTCCTACCTTGTATTCTATCCAGCATCCCCGCTTATGGTTGCCATTTACATCACAGTGGTCGGTTTTATCTAAGCAGAACTCGCACGACGCTTGCTGACCATCTGAAGTGGACAATTCAAATCGTACTGGCTTTATCTCCCAACCATGAGTATGCTCAAAACTGCAAACACGACGACCCAACCTTTTGGCAAACCTTCCAAGGTGAAGCCTGAAAGATATAGTATAAATATCAGCAGG